AATATAGTTTTACTAAACAAAATTGTTATTACATTTTTTGTTTCATTTCCAATTGATTAAATCCATTTCAACATATTCCATAAATAATTTTAAATATATGTATAAACAAATAATTTTATTTTATATATTTTTTGTATAATCTTTACAATTCAAAAACTATTTGGAATTTTAAAAATGCCGTCGGCAAAAATCATTTACACGAAATGTCCATTTAGATGACATATGAAATCATTAAAAAATTATTTTTAGAAAATATTATTTAATTGTACTTAAACTCGTTCATTTGTGCATTTGATATTTAAACAAAATTGAATTGAATTAAATAATAAACCAAAAAAACATATAACCTCTAAAAATCTATCCGTGAAATTCAGAAGAATATTCCTTTGTTGTGGCACAAATAAGAGCAATGAAAATTTTTATTGAACGAGTTAATTTTTAAACCGGAGAGAAACGGAAAATAAATACTCAATTTCCTTAAAAGTCTTATTTCTATTTGTTACGTTAACTCAACGAATTTCACTCATTCGTACTGCATTACCGACATTTACAATTCATTCATTTAACTCGGTTTCCTTCAAATAATACTCCACTCTTATCATCAAAGAATTTAAGAGCTGATTTTCCATTTTAGCGAAGAGAGTAAGAGTCCAATACTCTTTTATCCCACAATTTATGTTTGTCATTCAGATGTTGTTGTTGTGTTGCTGTTCTCTGTCATTGTCAATTTAACCGGGAGGGAAAACCCATACTGTGAGTAATGTCACTCGTACTGGAAAAATGTGCCTTACCAATACTATGTCAACAACAGCAACGAAGGAGGGTAGGCACAACGATGAACCAACAATGAAGAGCATAACACACTCACGCACTCATACAAAACGGGAACTCTTTCCATGTCCCATCATGATGGGTAAACACAAGAGTTGCATGAACTGGCTGGCTGGTTGTTCGGCAGAGGCCCATTAAGGTAAAAAAATGTCGTGTGTGTGTGCGCCAGTGTATTGGTATTGGTGTTTTACCACCGTGCCAAAGGCAAAAGAGACAAATATAATGAATACACGCACCACATACACACACACACACGACCAAACATAAACAACACACAGATACTGTAGTCACCAGTATCTGTGGGAATGGCACATTGGCCGGGGCTGGTTATGTAGCAAACATTGTGTGTGCTCTCTGTGTGTGTTTGTGTGTCGCTTACTATGCGCTTAGAGCCGAAGTAGCTTGTCACTCGCTGGAGACATTTGTGGGCAGTTGCGTTGAACTTGTCGTCTTGTGCGTATCTTGTGAATTCAAAAAGATACGGACTACGGATATTGAACAAAGAAACACACGAAACAAGAAAAGACAAAAAAACGAGAATAAACATATTTTACGAGAGTGCTCTTTCATATTGGATTTAAACAAAATTCTTACCTCATCAATTCTTGGAGAATACTCTTTATGGGTGTCATCTCCTTTAACTAAAGTGTCAACGAAGAATAATCGAAATACAAAAAAAGAAGAAGAAGAACAATATTGGACTACCAATACGCTTACCACCACAAATACAAAAACAACAACAACAATAATACATCTACCACCACCATTCTCATCATCATTTCATTGAGCTCTGGTGTATCGGTGTAGACGTCTCAACATTCAGTGTCACCCACGACATCACAAGAAGTGGACATATACAGAGAGAAAAAAAATTAAATAAAAATAAAACAAAATTACGTCGTCTTCTGTGTTATTTGGACAATAATTTTTTGTTTTGGTATTTTTTTCATTTTCGAAAAAAAAAAATAAAGTGCAAACCAAGTGAAAAATAAACTTGTTTTTTTTCTACAAATATTAAATGAAATGCAATAAACAATTCAAAACCGGATATAATTAATAATCGAAAAAAATAAATCACAACAAATGTCATATGAAATTAAATGGTGTTAAATAAAATTAAAAACAAATGTTTTTATTTAAATATTTTGTGAACAATTTTGTGATTTAAAAAAAAAAAATCAGATCACCAGCAACAAAAAAAGAACAAACTTTGGATTTCTTTTTGGAAATTTAGCAAACCATCTACCAAACCCAACAACGTTTTAATGCAATTTTTATAGAGAAAAATTCTAATTTTTATTAAAAGTAAGTATTGATTAAAAAATTATTTATGATTAATTAAATTGTAACCGTCGGCTTTTTTTGCAACAAAGTATTGGAGTTTTTGACCAACAGTTAATACCGTCGGCCTCTGAAAATTAAAATATATATTTTTTTTAAATTAAAATTGTGTCATAACAAATATTTATACACATAAAATTTATTTGTAAAAATTTACAAAAACACATTTTTTAAAATATTAAAAAAATCAATATCCCTTTTGATTTAAGCATTTTTTATTTTTAGGGCTAATTAATATTTTATTAGCAAGCCTTATAAAAATAAATACAAAACAAAAAAATACCAAATTTTGAGCTTCCCTAAAAAATTTTAACTACAGCAACATTTTCTTTTTTAATGTTAAAAAAATATTTAAAAAATATATTTATACTTATTTTCTTTTTAAGGCTAATCAATCAAAAAATATTTTCCATACTTTCATATGTTGAAGTCCATTTTTTTTTAAATTTTTACAATATAAATTTTAAAGAAAATTCTTCTTAATTTTCCACACTCTTTTTTTTTTGACTTAAAAATTAAAAAAAAAACCCAAATCTCCATCATGTCTTAAAAATCATTCAACAAAAATATACCGCAAACATTTAGAGGGTTTTTGCTTTTATGATCCCATTAGAAAGATAAAAATTAACAAAAGAACAGCATGTTTTCTCTCACATACTACAAGGGGCTCTTGGTTGGATGCTTGAATGGTCATAAACAAGATCCAGCCAGTTGTGGCTTAAACGAACACAGCCAACCATTACAGCCATCTAGCATCCATCATATCAACCTGAAGATGGTCAATCTTAAACTAGCAAGAAAAGAAAAAATGTCATAAAACGCCACAGTTGTGCATATGGGCATGTAAATTAAGTTCGGACCAGATTTTACAGTAGTTATAAAATAACAACAAAAACAACATGAAGAACTACAAAACCCAAACTCATGTGACAACGTCCCACAAATCAAATGTTAAGTTACTTAATTACATTTTTTTTGACTTTGATGGTACTCCCCAACACTCAGCAAAGATTGTTGACATTTTTGGGAAATAATTTTTTTATAAAAAAATAAAAAAAAACAATAACACAAAATTGTTTGTTAAATTTGACAAATGATTGACATGTTAAGTATTTGAAATTTTGTTGACTTCTTTTCAAAAGAGATCTTTGCCTTTTTCGAGTTTGAGTTTTTTTTTTTTTTTTTTTTGTTCATTTGTTTATTTCAAGAGTTGAGTTTTTTTTTTTTCTCAAGACTTTTGACCTTGCTTCTTAAAGCTTGATTTTAATATTAATATTCCAAGCAGAAGAAAAAATATTAATTTTATTTATTATAAAAAAATATTCGTTACAGTTTAGTGTTTGTTTGTGTTCTTCTGGCTCACATGATGGGACCCAGCGATTTGTCATGGTGTTAAATCATCAAGCGGGTGTTAAAGATTTGAATGTTTTTCTCACATTTCTCATTAAAAAAACTTAGGTTTTTGTTTCCTGGTTGTGTTGTGAAACATCATGGGAACTAAGAAAAATAAATAAATATACAAATTAAAATTCATTTATTCTATATTCAAAATTTTCTTTAATGATTTTCGAAAAATCATGGCTACAAAATTTAATTAAAAATATTGGATTTGTCCTTGATTTTCTGCTTAAGGCTTCTATTAGTTATAGCTCCTTTGTAAAGGGACATTTTTTCATAATGAAAATGACATTCAAAAGTTGTTACAATCTCCTCACCTCGATGTACGTTATGGCTCCAATCCACGCCACACAAAACGCTATACTGTAATTATATATTTTTCTTCTTCTTCTTCTTGATGTATTGATTGTCATTTGCTTTTCTACAATGAGCAAGATGCTAGAAACTGGAAACAAGTTTTCCGCTCCCCACTTTATACAACGGCTCAAATAATTATAGTTATTAAAAAAATATCGTGTTGAATCGAAAAAAGTCGACAGTCCAGTCACCACATAAAAGATTTTTTTTATAGTTCTCCCTCTTATAGCAGTAGGATTCCATCGAGGGTGCTGGTTGTCATCATTTGTGTGTTCGATTTATGATTTGTTCTTTGGGTTTTTTCTTTTTATTGGATTTCCTGTTATCAAAAGTGTCATTTTGATTTAATGACAGGTTTTTTTTGGGAGCGACTCCTTTTTTGTCTTTCGACCATGGCTAAAGGGTAATTAAATTGGAGTTGTAAACAAATACAAAGATTTTTTAAAGACACTTTTTTAAATCCACATTTTTATAGTATTCAACCAAACAAAAAAATTTACAGTGGCTTAAAAAGAACTGTTTTTTGTCACCTTTTTACTTTTTCAAAAAATAAAATAAAAAACAACAATGATATCTGGCACAAATTCCAATGACTGGCATTGAACATTTATGTCTCCACCTGACATTAATGATTTATTATCGTTTACAATCAGTAGTAGTTGATCATTAACATTTATATTGATTTTTTTCTTCGTATGGTACCTTACAAAGGGGATGGCTATAGGGGGGAGATCTTTAGATGTAGCACAGCAAGTCAGCATGTAAATTTTAATTATATGATGTTAAAGAATCCGTGGCCACAGATAAATCTTCAACACTATTTCAACAGCTACCAACAGGGATTTTGTTCTGCATCTCAAATTTTATTAAGGAAGTTGGTTTTATGATCATTTAAGAAAAAAATCCTATTATTATTTTGTAAAGTTATAAAAACTCCAAAAAAGCTTAAAAATGTATTTTTATTATATTTTATATATTAAAAACAAAATTATATTAACGTTCGCCTTTTTTTCTTTTCTTTTTAGATTTTCCGTCGATTTTTGAGAACAACAGCAAACAAATAACCCCCCTCAAACACACACTCACACATTTTCCCACCATGGAACATTTAATGACTGCCTTTATGCCACCAGCCTACTTGTTGGGTCATCACACTCCTGCCAACGCCGTCGCTACCTCCGCCGCCTTGTCTTCATCCTCAGCCACCACCTCACCGGCCACATCACCCAACACATTGTCTGGCGGCAAAGTCAAACGTTGGGGTTCTCCACCCGTTAATATGGGTGGCCAGTACATAAATCCTGCCACTGGCAAAAAACGTGTACAATGCTCCATTTGCTTTAAGACTTTCTGCGATAAGGGTGCTTTGAAGATTCACTTCTCCGCAGTGCATTTGCGTGAGATGCACAAATGCACCGTTGAGGGTTGCAATATGGTTTTCTCATCGCGCCGTTCACGTAATCGCCACAGTGCCAATCCCAATCCCAAATTGCATTCGCCACACATCAGACGTAAAATTTCACCCCATGATGGCCGCACAGCTCAACAATTCCCCGTTTTCCCCTTGGGACCAGCTGCTTTGTTACCCTGTGGCCCGGCCTTCTCAGGTCTGATGCCACCCCATCATCCTAATCATGTCATGTTTGGTGATTTCCCAAATCCCGCCGGTGTTCCCAACTTCCAACTCATGCTCAACGGTTCTGGTCATGAAATGAAACAACAAGTTTCCTATGCTTCTAGTGGTGCTTCCAATAACTCCGACAATGATGATGATGAGGGCTATGTACTTGATGTCCAGGGATCCGGCGCTAGTCAGGGTAGCCACAGCGATGTTGATGACTACTGTCGTGAGGTTGATGAAGAGGACGAAGAATTGATCTCGGTGTCCATTGAGGATGAAGCCAAGTCATTTGCCATGCCTTCAGAGGATTCCAATGAGCCATTGGACTTTAGTCTAAACAAACGTACCAACGACCTGACGATGCATAGCTCAAATGAAAGACTTTCCGCCAGTCCCTCCCAAGCCAAACAGTCCAACAGCTTTTCCATGGATACTCTATTGGGTAAACGTAAAAGATCCTGCGGCAGTGAATCGGAAATGTCCTTTGGAAAAACATCGCCGGTAACAGTTAAAATGGAACAAGATGAAGAAACCGATTGCCTAGATTTGTCGTCTGCCTCGCAACCCAGCAAAAAATCACAAATTTTTGCCACACCTCAAAGTTCACCCCTTTTAGCGGAAGAACAGCATCTCAGATTATTGCAATCGCAAATGTTTGCTGCTGCCGCCGCCGCAGCTGCTGCTCAAAGCCAAAGCTTAGAAAGCACAGAGAACAACAACAGCACCTCCATTCCACCAACAGCCCCACCCATGTGGAATCTCCTGTCCGAGGTGTATCGTTCCATGTTAATGAAAACCGAACAGCAGCAACATCAAGACCAAACCTCACAGCAATACAATGAGATGTCCACAAATGCAATATCGGTCTAGATCTAAGGTCATAGGACTTTAACACCATCACCACCACCAACATCGTTCCAAAGATCCAGACTTTAAAACAAAAAACAAAACACACTCGCTTTAGGTTGTTACCTCATCAAATTCGTATTATTTAAATGTTAAAAAAAATGAAATGTTGTTGTAGAATTTTTCCAAAAAATATTTAAGTTTAATGTAAATAATTTATGTAAATATAGGTTACTAAGTAAAGCAAAACACACACACACAAATCATCATCATTTACCTACAAAAGTATTCAGCAATATTTTTAAATATCTATCTCCCAGCAATGGAAATGTTTTTATTTAAATGTGTAAATTTATTTCTATTAAATATATATTTTTTGTTTTCCTTCTCCTCTCTAGCCTTGGTGCAATACTATCTATGTGTATATTTTCTATTTTCCCCACAAAAACTCTTTTTTTAAGTCATTTTAGTTGTACAACAAAAAAAGTATACGTTTTTTTTGAAATCTCAAATTGATATTATTTTTCAACTTCAATGTAAATTATTAATTATAATGCTCTTTCTCTCTACTCTGATAGTCTTCTTTTTTTGCAATGTGTAACATATCTCATTTATATACATATGTAGAAATAATAACAAAAAACAACAAAAAATGGAAATTTGTTTTCATAAAAAAATTGATATTTAATAAATGTATAATTGCTACAAATAGTATAACAAAATGCAAATGTGTTTTTATAGTATAATCTAGTATTAAAAATGCTTTACTATTATATTATTATTATTATCATTGTGAAAAAAACGAAAACGAAATAATTTTAGCCAATTTTATAAAATGAAAAAAAAACAAATTGTTTACAAAAAATCAAATAAATTATATAAAAAACTCTAAATGAAAAAATTAATCCTCTGTGCGTTTTGATTTTGGTTGGGAATTACAATTAAATTGAAAACTAAAATAATGGAATCAATCAATTAAATTGGCCGGGCCGAACTTTTTATACCCTCCATCATAGATTTACTGACAGTTACTTGGAATTCAATTTCTATATTGAACTACAGCGCATGATTTTGGAAAGTGTGGTTAAAGCCTCTGGTGTAGTTCAAAAATCCCAAGGGAATTATATTATACAACTGCGACTACCAATGAAATTAATTTGTATAATATATATGCGGTCTCCGACTAATATTTCGAGGTTTTGAAAACGAAATGCCTAGTTTAATATGAAAATGTATTTAAAAATATGTTCAAATGTTAGTAAGCTTAGACCCGATTTCATAAAAAGTGGTATATAGGTGTTATGAAAAAAGTAGACCTACACTAAAAATTTTCTAAGAGTGTGCGGAAACTCGCAAAGCACCCATATACTAAATTTCAGTTAATTATAATGAACATTTTTTCCAAAATGTCAATGCCCATAAAATGTAAAAACGTGGACTTCTATATTCTGAGCATGGACAATATTTCGCGATATTTGCACCCTCTAGACCGACTAGAGGCCAACAAATATTACTAATATTCAGTACAGCCCTTCTAATTACTTGTCCAGATTCCCTTCACCATGGGTTGTGTTGTTCGGCTTTCAATTGTGGACTACAGATCGAATTGTTGATCGAAAAAAAAACAAAAAATCAAGTTTTCGCTCCACTTCATCCCAATATTATTATCTGATCATCACCGAAAATTATAGGCTTTGTCAAAGCGATCAACGCAATATTTCCGCCCTCTAGTGTGATAATGGGTTACTTAATTATATATGAATACGTAAGCACCTGTAAATATTTAAGTGTAAATCCCACATCCTAGTACATATGACAATATAATTGGTATCAAGTTAAACGTCAAGTTCCTCTTGGATATACTATCAACTTCTCGGGTCTATATCCTTCAGGGGTAAATATATACGCTATAGAATACAAATTTTGTAATTTTTCACCCAAAAGTCAGGGTCCATTAAACCCGCCAAATATTGACCTATCTTTATCAAAACAGGCTTGCTTATACCCTTCTCCGTGTAAAATTTGCGATGTTCGACCAGAAAAACGACAAAAATTAAGTATTTGGTCCATTTCATCCCCTAAATATTAACCGATCTTTAACAAAAACAATAGGGGTATTCATTGGCCAGAACCAATCCTACATGTAAACTTTTGTGAAGATTGGTCCATAACTGTGGCCTGTTTCGTGTTTACAAATTATAATGGATATACGGACGGACTGACACACATGTCTAGATCGACTCAGCTGGTTGAGATGTGACGATCGGTATACTTAAAGAGGGTCTAGGATCAATATTTCGAGGCTTTACAAATTTTTTGGGTTGTACAAAGCTATAATACCCTGACAACATAGTTGTGTAGTGTATAACCAGTAAGCAACGTTAAAAAGTCGGACGTAGCCGACTATATGATACCCTCCACCACTTTGGGTGTATACATAGCAAACGCCCTTATCTGATGACTTTCCAGGTATGTGTCGAGAGAATAGCCCTAGAATTCTTGGTGGACCATTGCCATGAAATCGGTCGATACATAATATGTAAATCTGGATCGATTTGAAGAAAACTTTACACGTGTCAAACGATTTGCTGCAGCACGTCGACCTGTCCAAAATGAAATTGTAAGAAAATATATGTGGGGGTTATATATATATATATATATATATATATGGAAGCTATATCTAAAACTGAAAATATTTGAAACAACAAATTTCATTCCAAGCATATTTCTGTACGCTATCCATACGGTGCATAATTTTATGACATCGGAACTATATGTAAATATGAATCTTTGAAAATTGTAGCTTAAAAAATCGGATGAAAATATATAAGGGAGCTATACCTGAACCAACTTAAACACATAATTTTAGAATCTATTCAATACTCTATTAAAATTTGTTGCTTAAATAACGAAATATCGAAATCGGTCAAACATATATATTGTCATATCTAAATCTGGACTGATTTCGACGAAATAATGTACAATTCGCAATTCTTCCCCTCCCATTTGTAATAAAGGTCGCAATCACTAAATATCCATCAAGCGCAAAACCTTTAATTGTTGATCACAATCAGATTTTATATATTGTGTATAAGGTGGATCATGATCTAAATGTGGGTACGTTTTCTATAGGCCCTCATATTGGAAATGATGTAACACCACTGTGTTATGAAATCGGGTCTAAGTTTACTGATATTTGAACATATTTATACCCTTCACCACACTGTGGTACAGGGTATTATGTCTTTGTGCATATGTTTGTAACAAGCAAAAATAATCGAGATAGACCCATGGTTCCTTTTGAGAATATGCATAGAATCACCGATTTATTCATGTCCGTCTGACCGCCTGTCTGTCCATGTCAAATTGTAAACAAAGTACAGGCCAGCTTATTGGTCTGGCCCAAGGACAAACCCTATTGAAATTGGGAAAAATCGGTTCAGATTTATATATAGCTCCCATATATATTTTCATTCGACTTTATGTAATTAGTGCACTAAAGTCCCTATATATCTTTCGATTTCGTATATATCTTTCGATAGCGTACTGAATTAAGTCTAGAATAATGTGAGCAAAGTTTCGTCAAAATCGGTTCAGATTTAGATGTAGCTCCCATATATACTTTCACCCGATTTTAGGTAAATAGTCCACTAAAGTCCCTATATATATTTTGCTTTGCACGAAATTTGGCATAGCGTAATGAATAAGGTCTTGAATTGTGTGTGTTAAGTTTCATGAAAATCGGTTCAGATTTAGATATAGCTCCCATATGTATTTTCATCTGATTTTATGTAATTGGTGCATAAAAGACCCTATATATCTTTCGATTTGCACGAATTTTAGTATAGGGTACTGAATTAAGTCTAGAATGATGTTGCTAAGCTTAGTGAAAAGATCCATAGCTAGGCCGATTGACACATCGTACTGTGGCAAGTTTCCCTGAAATCGGTTTAGATATAGATATATAACAAACACGCGACTGTCTGTTAGGATACATATGTAGAATATACCCAAAGTGGTGAAGGGTATCATATGGTCGGCCCAGTCCGACTTTACTACTTTCCTTACTGGTTTTTAAATACCTTATTTATATCTAGGAGAATTAGACAACAACTAATAGGAACATTATTAGTCTCCATGATCTGAATAAAATTTTATGTCGATTTAGTCTTGCCCGTCCCTCTGCCTGTTAAAAATACAATAAAAGTCGCAATATTTATCATAGGGCTATAATTAATTCCAGAATGTTCGACATTGTGAATGAAATATATCGGTCTATGTTTTGTTATAGCTCTCATATAACGGTACGGAATTTTGAGGTTCTCAGCCATATTTCCCAACGAAAAAGCTCTAATTCGGCTGGATTCTGGCATACATCTGCACAAAAAATGATAATTATAAAATCATGCTTTCACCGGGCCCGGGCATTTGTAATTTGGTACTTTTGGTTCTCATTGAATAAAACATATCCGTACAAAAATTATTGTTATTGGTACCCGCCAGTATTCGGTATTTTGGAGATTTTAGACACTTTTTCCAAAAAACTTCGCTGTAATTTTGTGTTCTCTTTTTACAGCACATTTTCTACTAAAAATGAGAAATTTTGATTAGAAAGTCGTTGATTAGAAAATCTCCACATTAATATTGAGCCAAGTTTTCGGTTAGCCATATAATGGAACCTGCAATGATTCCGTGTTTTTTGGGGGTTTCGGGGGGTTTTTGGATTTTTTTAATCAAAATGACTATAATTTATTATTTTGACATTGGGTAGCAAGCCTCCCTACAAAAATTATCGGATTTGTTCCGCTTCTATCGATAGGCCCAATATTGTGGTCCCACCCACGGTGTTCTGGAGGGTTTGTACAAGTTTTGCTACTGAATTGGTTTTGGTGTAGCTCTCACAGGTCTATGATTTGACATAGCAATCCATTGTCTGTATTTTTCAAATTTAGCCACATTTTTCCTTGGTATAAGGATCCTCTTAATTTGAAGGTTGTAGATAAATCTTCCACTGAAGTTGATTC